GACCACTTAGCCGATCTGTGCTGAAGCGCCTGCCAAGCTTCAGCCTGGACAACATAGGAAAATCTGATAATGTGACGTCACAAGAGTGCTGTTAGTTAACATTAAAAGTAAYGGGACTGCTCTTTGCGCAACCTACTGTGTCTTTTAACAGTGCTGTTGCACTTATTTAAAAATAATAATATCACTAACCACAGAACACATAGACCGAACAAGTGTTCTGTGGTTAGTGATAATACATAACTATAGTATACGAAAGTGTGCATACCTGAGGGTTTGGCAAAAGCACCACTGGTATTCATGCTATATATACTGTGATATTGAAAATTATTTTCATCTCTTGTACAAGCCGTTGTCAAATTTCTTTTAGCATAGATTTCACCATCGACACAACACTTACGAACACACGGTACAGAATCACAAATTTTTAACTGTTGACAAGTACGAACTATAAATTGTTGAGTATTTTTATCGAATTGAGAGTTTTCATTTTTAATTAACACTTCAATACAAAATTCACTTCTCTGAAATGATTTCTTATGTTCTTTAAGTAAAATTCTTTCATTTTGTATCACAATAGCTTCCGCCGTTAGTACATATTCAACTAAAACTTTATTCTTGGGACACTTGAACGAATTGTCAACAAAAATCATTGGATTATCAAAAATAGCAGAGTATTTATTGTAGTCGGGGTATCGTAAATAGCACTTTTTTATATCTGCGCCAAAGGAGTACCCATGCGGACAGCATTTATTTATAATGCCAATACTTTGCAACATATCATCTTTTTTCGCTTGGCATGTTAAACTAACCAGACTATTGCTGTCTAGAATAAGAATGCATGAGTTTGCAAATACGGTAAATGATATTTCTGTCAGTAGGGATACATTTGAGTATCCAGTGAGAGCACATTGTGGAAAATTAGTCAGACCGAATGTGTCATTAATTTCGACTAAGCCATATCCTTGTGGAGTTTCTGTAGTACCAAGCAGGTCAATAGTGTATGCATTGTCGGTGTCATTAAGACTCTCAAGGGCGTTAGTACAATTATAAGTAGTTAAGTTATTCGGCCCATAGATTTTATATAATATTGATTGTGGATTACAACATATTTTGACTGAATTGATATTCCTAAATACATAACAGAAAACTAAGTATAAAAAGGCAAGTTTCACACACATAATCAGTATTTTATTTATATTTGATATTATTTTTTTTATTTTTAAGCCAATGCGTTAAGCATACACTATTCATAGGTGTCTACGCATAAGCGTTGTGTGTATTTGTATCTATAAGAAATATATCTTATCGCTGATTGATACCGCACAACACAAAAAGACGTTGGAGTAAATAGGCCTCTTGAGTCTAACTGAATGCATGTGCTCCTAACGACTGAAAAAGTGGATAGCAATATGTATATACATAAATAAATATCTATACATCCATGCATATATACACAAACATATACATAGACAAATATACACATGCAGATGTTGAGTGTTTATAGTAATATTTATCTGTAAACACTACACAAATATACATATATTTAGTGTGTGTATCCATCAATATCGTCAATTTCATACCCCCTAGCACTTAGCATAGTAAATATGTATGTATGTATATCCACAAGTATGGATATAATACATAATTATAATGCACACATACATACATACATAAATATATACATGGGTGAATATACATATATANACTTCAAATTTTTTTTAAAATGTCCGTAATTACAGCGCGCATATCAAGTTTATCATTAAAAATCGATAACTCATCCCGATCTTTTTTTATCGATAAAAAACCTTATCGAAAACCAGTTATAAAATTATATCTTCTACACCTTTATTGCTAGAGTCTCCAAATTTTTAATGTATGCTTATATGCAATTTATACAATTTCGGTTTTTGTTAAAATTTACCCCCCACCCTTAAATTCACCCCCTCACCCTCACTTTTGTAAAAAGCGTATTTCAAATACTAGAGACTTGTGCTTTGGCAATTACATGCATATCCATGTTATAATCATAATCTGAAAGTTTCATGAAGATCGTACGTCCACAAAAGTTATTAAGCAATTAAGTTCTCATAGTAAGCGCTCACTGCCGCCCATGCGTGTTTATGCTTGTGTGTGTATATGTATGTAAATGTTTGTGTATGTGTGTGTATGTAATTGTGTATGTGTGTGTGTATGCGTTTGTGTGTGTATGCGTGTGTGTGTGTGTATGCGTGTGTGTGTGTGTATGTGTGTCTGTATGCGTGTGTGTGTATGTATGCCTGTGTGTGCGTACGTGTGTGTGTGCGTGTTTCTTGTGTAAGCTGAAAGACGCGAAAAATTATTGAAATATCTATTGCTCCAAGGGTTCAGGGGATCTCGTAGTCGAGCAGTCTCGACTAGAGCTTTCTTACTTGTTATTTCTATCTCTTTAAATGGTGCTTACACTAAATTTTGGAAAAGCTGTAGTCCTACAATTTAAAAACTGTAAATCTAATTACACACTCCTTTTCTTTATTTATTGGTTTTATACCCTGAACCCATTTTCAATGGGAAATCAGGGTATAATGATTTTGTGAAATGTACATATGTAACAACCAGAAGGAGGCGTGTTAGACCCCATAGAGTATATTCATACACATGTACATACATATATTCTTGATCAGGGCGACGAGCTGAGTCGATTTAACCCTGTCCGTCCGTCCGTATGTTTGAACGCGCCGATCTCAGAAGTAGAGCTGGAGAATCATAGATGGAACCATCCAAAATATCGATGGAAATATAGTTTTTCGATATTGGTATTTATATTTACAAAATAGCTATTGCATTTCAAAATTGTAGCAAACAAAAGCAATCTATTTTCTTTAAACTGGCATATCCTCATTTAAATATAGACAAATTTGTCGCAACGTCCAGTAAGTTGTTTAATGCAAACTCATTTAAAGTCTGATTTTAATATATTATGTGATTTCTTACAAATTGTAGATGTCTCCCCTATACCTTCAACAACTTTGAGTTAACCTGATAGCGCCGATGTTTTTATACCCTGAATCCATTTTCAATGGGTATAATGGTTTTGTTGAAATGTATGTAACAGGCAGAAGGAGGCGTGCCAGACCCCACATAGTATATATATTATTGATCAGGGTGACGCGCTGAGTCGATTTGGCCCTGTCCGTCCGTCTGTCCGTCGGTCCGTCCGTATGTATGAACGCGTCGATCTCCGGAACCCTTGGAGTAATAGCTATTTCAATAATTTTTCGCGTCTTTCAGGGGGTGAATATAAATGGGGGGGGGGGGTAAATTTTAACAAAAACCGAAATTGTATAAATTGCATATAAGCACATATAGGGGGGGGGGAGACTCTAGCAATAAAGGTGTAGAAGATATAATTTTATAAATGGTTTTGGGGGGGGGGTT